TGCACAAAGCCAGGCTCTGAGAAGACTTTTCAAGGTTCCATGGTACATTAGGACGAATGACATCCTCAAGACATCAAGATTTATCCCATCAAAAAATACATAAAGGATAGAGCCCTCTTTCTTTGCAAAATCTGACAGAGTATGGCCATACTAAGTCATATTGCACTCTTCGTACAGTGTGCGTAGCTTGTGGCGAGCTTCACCATAGTTCCGAATGCGATAAAAAAGCATTAAAGGATACCAAAAAATGTAGCAACTGCAGTGGAAATCACACTGCAAACTACAGAGGCTGTCCTATTTATAAAGAACTAAAGCACAGGTTAGCTCTGCAGAAAGAAATATTGCGTAATCCTACAAGAAGCAACCCCATTAAATTCGTTGAAGTACCTCAACCTTTAACTTCTAAGCCTGTTACACCAGGTTTTTCATATGCTAACGTCGTTAAATCTGACAAGCAACATGCTCCTCCAGTTCAAAGTAATAGTTTAGAAATAATGATCTCCACTCCCACCCAGAGCTTAACTCAGTTCATGTCAATCATGCAAACTACTCTTAACGAGATAGTTAAAATGCAAAGCCAATTAATGCAAATTTTTGTCTAAATAATGAGTACTTTAAAAATTTGTACATGGAATGCAAACGGCTTAAGCCAACATAAACTTGAACTCACAAATTTCATGTCCCGAGAAAGTGTGGATGTAATGCTGTGCTCAGAAACACATCTAACAAACAAAAATTTCTTTTCTATTCCTGGTTATTTAACATATTCCATAAAACCAATCACCCAGATGGCACAGCACGTGAAGGTACAGGTATTTTGATACGAAAGCGTCTAAAACACAATTTGCTAGGTACATATGCTCATAATTATATGCAAGCCACATCAATATGCCTTAAGCACAAAGGAAAAAATTTAACTTTATCGGCAGTTTACTGTCCTTCACGCTTCAACATTACTGAGACCCAACTTACGAATTACTTCTTAACTCTAGGTGAAAGATTTCTTGCGGCGGGAGACTACAACGCTAAGCACATGTATTGGGGTTCACGACTCTGTAATCCAAGAGGAAAACAGCTCTACAATTTTATTGTAAATAGAAAAAATGCACTAGACGTAATCTCCCCTGGACAGCCAACTATTGGGCTGCCGATAACAATAAAATACCAGACCTAATAGACTTCGCCGTGACCAAAGGCATGGGCAGAAATTTTATCTCAACATACACTAGCTGCGATTTGTCTTCTGACCATTCTCCAGTTACATTTTGCTTACTTGATGGTCCTCAGTTATATGACTGTTCCTATAGCCTTACAAGTCCTAAAACAAACTGGCTCAAATATAAAAAGTACTTTAATTCATACATTCACACAAATTACAATATAAAGTGTAAGTCTCATATTGAGGACGCAACCTCGGTTTTAAACTTAGTTCTGATGGCAAAAATCTAAGTCCCTTTAGCGAAAAACTTATTTAAGGAAGCCCAAAGGAGACTTAGATCTGCATTAAGCAATGCAACCAAAATCAGGGGATATAGTTATATTCGAAACCGATGTCTAAATGGCAAAAACCATATATCCTTATGGAATGCTAGCAAAGGTATAAATTCCCCCATAGAATTCGATTCTCCAATAAGAAACTCTCTCGGAAACTGGGCGCAAAGTGATAAAGAAAAATCTAACGTTTTTGCTGATTATCTAAAAGAGGTGTTCCAACCAAATCGTGCAAAAGGACATTATGACTTTCCCAATCAGGATCTACATGCACCATCTATTGACACGAATATCACGGCCAATGATCTTCTTCAAATAATCACAGACAAGTTAGATTGTAAAAAGGCACCGGGATATGATAATATCTCACCCATCATGATAAAAAACTACCCCTTTTGGCCATAAATTTTATCACAAGACTTTTTAATGCCATTATTAAATTTAGTTTTTACCCAACAGAGTGGAAAACATCCATGATTATTATGATTCATAACTCAGGTAAAAATCCCACGCTTGCCTCTTCATACAGCCAATAAACTTACTGGCATGCCTTTCTAAACTCTTTGAAACAGCACTGCTTTTAAAGGTAAAACCATTCCTTGACGTTCAAAACTTAATACCCTTCCGCCAGTTTGGTTTTAGGGAAAAACATGGGACTATTGAGCAAGAGAATCATATAACGAATGAAATAAGATATGCATTTGAGCTCAGAGAATATTGTTCTGCGGTATTCCTCGATGTTAAACAAGCATTTGATAATGTATGGCGTAATGGGCTCATATATAAGATACGCTGTTCATTACCTGTAAATGTTCACTCAGTTTTAGAATCGTATCTGCATAATAGAAGCTTTAAAGTGAAATGTAAATCATATACTTCTAATAATTTTCCAATAAAAGCTGGCGTGCCACAAGAAAGCATTCTTGGCCCTATATTGTATGTACTTTACACATCTGATATCCCGATAAGTAGTTCAGTTGTCACCACAACGTTTGCCGATGATACGGCAATTTTATGTCGAAACAAAATCGCTGTGCGAGCTTCAAACCAACTTAAATCTCATTTATTTCAGGTGGAGAAAATGGCGAATTAAAATTAACGAAGTAAAATGTAGACACGTCACTTTTACCTTAAATCGGAGTACATCTCCAACAATTTTACTAAATAACATTCCCATACCACAAGCAGATGGCCAGATATAACGTACTTAGGTATTCACCTAGACAGATGACTAACTTGGCGTAAACATATTAAAGCTGAAAAAAATTCAGATGAAGCTTCAAGCCTCTAAGTTGTATTGGGTCATTAATAGCAGATCTCACCTGTGCCTAGAGTATAAAGTACTCTTGTATAACATCATCATAAAACCAATATGGACTTATGGTATCCAGCTATTTGGCTAGTGCTTCAAATATTGAAATTATACAAAGAGCTCAATCAAAAATACTAAGAATTATCACTGGTGCCTTATGGTATATTAGGAAATTATACACCGAGGTCTACAAATTTCCCTAGTTAAAGCTGAATTTGACAATATAAGAAAAAATACAATAAAAGGCTGACAGAGCATGTTAATCCCTTAGCAAGAAATCTCGCACTTCTATCCATTACTTCCCGTCTAAAAAGAGCTGACCGTCCAGCCGTTAATTAATATTCAACAACTTTAAGTAATAACCGCACCTTTCTTTTTAGTAGTCTGTTAAAGTTGAACCACTTTCTTAAGAAACCACCTAACATTCACTCCAATGAAATTTAACCCATTAATCTAGGTGAGGTTCGTGATATAAGGTTTACTTATTTTATTTTATTTTATTTTATTTTATACAATGTACAGTTAAAATAAAAATTTGTAACATTATGTAGTTAGTTATAAGTTTTTACAACTTATTGTTAGTCTCATTTTAAGAGAAGATGCAATAAATAAATGTATGTTTTAAAAAAAAAAAAAAAAAAAAAAATCTGACAGACTTACCAACACCGCGTTATCAAATCTCAGAATGGTGGTCTGGCTCCTCGGGGAGGTATGCAGATCTAGATTTAGTTTTTAAGTAAAATTTTAGATATTTTAATTTCTATTCGGATACCATTCTACAACATTTTCTATTATTTTCTATAACTTGCCATACCTTATATTTACGTAAACAATTTATAATTTAGACCAACGCCAATATATTACCCGCCTCACAGACTACTTGCTTTTTTCAACTTCTTTCTCAAAATTTCTTCTCATTATCAGAGGGACAGAACATCATATGCAACTTCAAATACCAGGTTAAGTTTCCACTTATTGAAAACGCTCATAGATAGACCTGTGAAACGAACTGTTGTCAGAATTGCTAACTGGGTTGCATATAAAGTACTTCTAATAAAAAACTCGATTTTATGCAATACAGAGTGGCTTAAGAGGAACAAACTATCAGATTACAGAAGATACTAAATGGTTACGGCGTTAAGGAGAAAAGGGATGAAGAAAATATACTGGAGTTTTATGCTAAAAGAAGATTGAAAATATGAATTTAGGTATAGGTAAGAGTGTCGAAGTATATATATCGTACGATATTTCTGAAGTTTCTTAATTAAAATATAAAAGAAATGTCTAATTTTTTTATTAAAACTATTTAAACATTTTAAATAAATAAGTTATGTACAAATTTTATTTCAGTTTATGATAAAATTTATCTAGCGTGTATACTGACAAGTTTTTAGCAAGTTTCGATGGAATATTCGCATGCGAATTCGTAAGAGAGCGAAGAAAACGTCTCATATCTACTTTGTCACTATCCAGCGCATGCGTGGTGGCGATTGACTATGCTAGGGACTTTTTTGAGGGTCTTGGCCAGCTTCATGCTGGATTTATAGAGTGTTTCAGGGTTTGCTAAACGTTTAATATAGTTTTTACAGCTTTGAGCGTGTTGGCCCACAACACGATGGTCCAACACTCCAAAGTGAATTCATATGATTGCTGGCATCAGTAAACCTAAAAATACGTTTACACCATCGTAATTAATTTGACAAATATATTCTTCTTTATGTACGTTTTTATACAAAATCAATACAAACTTCATATAAAATGAATGTAGATAGTAAAAAGGGAAAATAGTGTAAAGTTATACAAAATATATTTTAACGTTTGTAATATTCTAGAATATTGTAATGTATAATTATAAATCTTAAAAACTAAACCAAAAACCGTAGAATTAAAATAATTGAAATTAACCTGAAATCCATTAAATAATAACAATCATTTCCATTAAATAATTTTATATTATTATAAAACTATAAAATATTTTTAATTAAAGTCTTTTCAAATACATTAAATTAATTACAATTAATAAATTGCTTGGGAAAACGCCTTTTAATTCAAAATAAAGTGCTGCCAAAATTTTAAGATTTCTAAATATTTTTTATTCATAAGGTATTTTTACTTTAAGTACAGTACAAGAAAAATATGTAACAGCTATTTACTTTAACAGTTTTCCCTACAGGTGGCGCTCTAAAACGAACTGTGTGATAAAAACAAAACGAAAGTTGACATTACAAAGCACGTTTAGCGAGAATTGTTTACAGTTAGAAGTGAGCGTGAACGTGCTAGATTATTAATAAAATAAATATTAAATAATTTTTAATTAAATTGATGGTTTTAATAATTCCATTCAGAAAATAAAGTGTGATGGATATACAATTAAATATAACAACTACGCCGCAACCAATGCGCAACAAACCGGTAAATTTTTTTAACAGTTATTCAACTCGTGGTTTTTGTAAAATTTTTAATAAAATAATAGCATGAAAGTTTATAAACATTTATAAGTATATTTTTTTACTCAGCAGTAATCATAAATAAATTTGTATTATAGGAAAAGCCAAAACCCTTCAGGCTTGCAAAGAAACCAGCAGGCTCCTCAGGTGGCTTTAGTTTTCAGTTTGGCGGTGGAAGTCAGAAAGTAAAAGCTGTTGTTGCAAGAAAACGTTTACCAGCAGGACAAATAAATAAATCTCTTGCATTTAAACCAAAACGTGCATTAACACAAGATGATATCACCTCAGGCATACGCAGATATTCCGAGAATCCAAATAAGCAACCACGAGCAGCAGATTTACTAGAACAAAAAGAAAAAGAAGAACGAGCACAAAAGAAAAGAACGGAAATGGGAAAAGTTGATGCACCTGAAATTGGTCATGTCAATAAGCAGGCACGGAAAGTGAATGCATTTCGCGTCAAACGCGCTGCGGATTCATCAGTGAAAAAAATCAACTTATTTCAAAATAATCCCGAAGCAAAAGAAATAGGACAACGTTTAGTAAAACCAATCACAGAACGTCTCTTCGATGGTACAAAAGTAGATTCATTGGGTTTGCATCCACATGCTGTAAAAAACTTACAAGATCTATTAGGCATAACGGAATTAACCACAGTTCAACGTAAAGCGATACCAAAAGCGCTAGAAGGTTTGTAAGACATAGATGTACATTAGCGAATACATTATAAAATTTTATTTAACATTTGCAGGTAAAGATATACTCGTCCGCTCACAAACTGGTTCCGGTAAGACGTTAGCTTATGCGCTACCAATTGTTGAAAAATTGCAGGAAATGCGCCCAAAAATTAGTCGTGATGCTGGCATATTAGCTGTGGTCATAGTACCTACACGTGAACTCGCCATACAAACCTACGAGCTCTTTGTGAAATTATTGAAACCCTACACTTGGATTGTGCCAGGTGTTCTAATGGGTGGTGAGCGACGTAAAGCAGAAAAAGCACGTTTGCGTAAAGGCATCAATATATTGGTGGGCACACCAGGACGTTTAGTTGATCATCTGCTGCATACAGAATCCTTCAAACTTAGTAAATCGAAATTTCTAATATTAGATGAAGCTGATCGTTTGTTAGAGATGGGCTATGAACGTGATGTTAAACAAATAGTTGAGGCTATCGATAAACAGCGTACGCAACTTGCAGAAGAAACTAAAGAAGCAGTAGTGCACTTACAGCGGTTGTTGCTTTCAGCCACGCTGACTACAGCAGTGCAAAGACTTGCTGGCCTAACACTTCAAGCGCCAATATTTATCGATAATAGCGATGCTGATTCAACAAATCTTCTAAAGAACACCAATGGTTATGCTAAAGAAAGCATTGAAGCAGCTACACAAGATTTGATAGACACTGATGATGAAACTGGTGTCTTAACAATACCGGAAAATTTAAAGCTCAGCTATATTGTGGTGCCACCAAAATTACGTTTAGTGACTTTATCGGGTTTGTTGGCTAAAGAATTTAAAGGGAAAGAAAAATTGAAGGCAATGGTTTTCATGAGTACAATGGAAATGGTTAATTTTCATCATGATATGCTCAATGAACAGTTAACACAAAAAGTGCTCGATGAGGACGATGAAGAAGTTATTAAAGATGAAAATCATGTTGAAAGCGATGATGATGATGACGATGATGAGCCACTGTTAATGGGTTTAAGATTTTTTAAGTAAGTTTAAGGAAACCATTTAATATATTTAAAACTATTAATGTATATCGTTTCTTAATTATAGATTACACGGCTCTATGTCGCAAACTGAACGTCAAGGCGTTTTTAACGGTTATAGAGAGTGCAAATCTGGCGTGCTACTAACAACAGTAAGTGTACACAATAAATACTATGATGAATATAGAATTATAGAATATAATCTGTAGATTATGGTTCCTATTATAGAACAGAATAGAAAATAGAATCAATAGATACTATTCTATAGAATCATTAGATATATAAAATAGAAACGAATCTATAGAGATTCTATTCTATAGAATCATTAAATATTGAATATATTAATAATATATCCACATCTATGATAGGACGTTTCTGGTCGTGGTATTGATGTGCCTGAAGTCGATTTGGTTGTACAATATTCACCACCACAGAAAATAGCAGATTTTGTGCATCGCGTTGGTAGAACAGCACGTGCAGGTCGTAATGGTCGCGCTGTTTTGTTTTTAGCGCCAAATGAAGCAAAATTTGTGCGGAAATTAGAAGATAACCGAATAAGGTTTGCAATTGTTAGATAAAGAAAAGAACATTTTTATTTAAATTTCTATTATCTTTAGAATTTCACAAGTCAATATGGATGTCTACCTACAAGCTCTAAAGGATGCTGATGATGTGGCGAATACAGTACAAGAAGCTGCGTCGAATTTACAACATAAATTTGAATTGTTAATTGTGGATGATAAAGAAATGCGTGAGAAAGCCTGCAAAGGTAAGTGCTAGATATTAAGTCATACGTATTCTATTTAAAAGTATGAATAGTAAATAGTATATAGCGAAGTTATACATATAACATACATAAAAACTTTACGACAGTATACATAAGTCCATTAGTTATGATGGATCATACTTTAAAAATTTAGTTCGATATTCTTCATTATATATTGTTTTATAGATTCACAATATTGAAGAAACATGATTTAAACATACAATAGAATAATGGGAGCTTTTGACAAGTGATTTGCATAAAAGAATTAATTCGAAGTAACAATAGATATTTGAAATATCTGTTTAAATATCTAAAATGTGTTTCGATATTAATATATTTAATATCAAAAAATATTGAAAATTTAAATAATATATATATATGATTATATATATATAATTGTATTTCTTTACTGTTCGAAAAAAAAACCTATATATAATTATTTTATCAAAAATATGATTTTCAAAATAATAATAATTTTCTGTGAAGAAAATAAGAATAATATTTAATAACTATTAAATATGACGCCCAGTTTTTCTAGAGTGGGTATTTTATTGCTAAGAACAAACTTTCTTTAGTGAAAATCTGTTCTCTATATTTAAATGTGTTCTCTAAATAAATAAATGTAATAAATAAATGTAAACGAGAAAAATAGGACAATTAGTACTATTTATAGAGAAAATAGAACTGAAAGCGTTTCATGTTTCTTACTATATACACCTCCATGCGCTATAAAGAAGAAATAAAGAATTTATGTGTGAAATAGGGTAAATATCCCAAAGCTATTTTTCTATTGATTACACTAATAGTAATTGTCTATGTAAATGAATTGTGATCAATATTACGAATATTACAAAATAGAGAGTTTATTTTTGAGAAAATACAAAACATATAATGTAGGGTCTAATATGAACTGCGAATCAAGAAGTCTATTACTTTATATGGAAGTATACAATTTATATGTATACATATATGATTAAATTAAAAGATTTGATCATCTATATATAATATATTATTTTAAAATAAATACTACTAAAACTATCAGATATTCTGTTGAACAAATCGATATACTGTTTTTTGATAACTGTCGCTGGTTTTAAGAACCATAAATACTTATTAAGATCGATGATTTACTAGGTATTATCTTAAGCATCTCTTTAGTAGTTTTTCGAAAAGCTAAGTTTGATATAAATATCTTTAATGCAAAAAGTTTAACACAAAATATTTCTCACTGTTATTAATAAACTGCCTAGAGCTTTTAGTACATCTCTCCCCTTTTTTCTATCTCTCTCTATTTCATTCTATCTGTGCTTAATTTTTTCATTCTATCTTTGTTTCTCGCTATTGGGATTTCACTCTCTCTCTGACTCTTATTTCCTTACGACTTGTTTTTTGCTTTCTATCTTTGTTTCTCGCTTTTTGTATTTCACTCTCTCTTTTCGTCTAGCCACTTCCATCCTTCTCTGACTCTTATTCCCTTACGGTTTGTTTTTTTCTTTCTATATTTGTTTCTCGCTTTTTGTATTTCACTCTCTCTTTTTCTCTAACCACTTCCATCCTTCTCTGTCTCTTATTCCCTTATGGCTGTAAAGTGAAAAGCAGTTATTAAGTCCCTATTTTTTTCTCTATTTATTTTTGTGCCTTAATTTTTTTCTTTCTCTTTTTCTTTTTTCTTTCCCCAAAAAAATATCCAAATTTCTCTGGCATCTCAGACACTGATATTTATAGAGATCTTTTTATTAAGACCATCACAGCGACGTCAAAATAGTTGGTCATCTCAACAATATTTTAGTTCCACTTAGTAGAATTTATGCAACGGATGGAAGATTTCTTGATACAGGAGTAGAGGAAAGAGTTGGTAACTAACTGCTGCCAACTCCATTAAATCATACTTTCAATTCCTTTTGTGAAGTGAGGTTCAAGTCATTCATATGTGAATTAAAAACACTCGTTCTTACATTTTGAAAATGAGTCCATTTTTAATTAAAAAGTAATCTTAATGATTTGTCTTCAATGCAATTCCCTCTTATTTACAGAATGCATGAGTTTAAAAATAATCTAGATCAAGCACATCAAAGACTAGTCATTTAATTTGACTTTATGACCTTTAGAAAACTCCATTATCGAATCTCTTATGCATTGTTTCGGTTAATTTATTAAGAACTGGAATTAAGATCCTTCATTGTGACTTTTAATAAAATAAGATTAAAATAACTTTTTAAATGCAAATATATAGTATCCTAAAATTCAATGATTTGGGATGTATTAAAGCCATTACGCATAAAATTGTGTTTACTCTAATAATTGTGGCTGTGTTTGAAACTAATGCTTTGCACCGTAATTTTTTTCGTTCTGGTTTAGAAGAACAATAATATATTGGTTCAGTTCCGACGAATCGAAGCATTCTGATTTATACCTTTTTTTATTGAAGTTCTCTAAATAATTCGTACTTTAATCGTTAAATTTCGCCTTTGTCAAAACTATTGTGTGAACCCGTGCTGAAAATTGACTTTTATCTGCCGAAAACCGGGTCTTTTTTCAATTATTTTTTTATCTAATTGGTCCAAAGGGTTGCAATAATCTTCAGAATTAATTGTATTGTTTTTTCAAGATAATCAATCAGTGGAATTCCTTATGCATCTCTGAAAACTTATGTTACAATCTTTTTTTTGCCAATCTTCCTCTCTTTAGCTGTTTTGAGCTGATTAAACAGCTTCAGTCCACTATAAGCGTTCATGTTTCAGTTTAGGATCCTGATAATTGATCGAAGTCTAATCCATAGTTATAAAACGAGAAGCAAAATCGGGTTTATTCTGTTCGAAAGACTACAGGTTGCAGATTGAAAAATTTATTTTTAATTCACTTTTTGTTGAATTGTCAACGAATGCGGATTTCATTTTCCGAATACATTTTTTTTTTAACAGTAGGTGGAAGCATTGAAAGTCACCATGTGAGACATGAACCAACTAAACCACTTTTTAGGAATGAATGGAGAAGATTTCCACAGTGAAAACTTCATTCCATTAATCAGGGGAAAGTACTTAACGAGCTTTCTAAACCAGAAAGCAAGGGCATACATTAAGGAAACTGGGTTATAGAGAAGTGGGTGGGGTTAGAGCACGTGAATGGAATTGAGGTTAGCGGTAAACTCTGTGACTGCGGTCACGAAAGCCACGATTATATAGGGGGATGAAATGGAGGTTACGGTCCCACTTATCGAAGTAGTGAGACAGGTATTGGGGGGGTTTATTATTCATACGCAATTCTTTTTTAAGAATGTAGTCTACATTCTAAACTTGGATCTCTACGAGCAATGTTGTAGATTTTCTCAATGATTTCTGGTGTTGTTGCACGTTTTGGACACCCACTACATGTTTTATCTTCAACGCCTGTACACCCACGTTTAGATTCTAAAATATATCGCACATTTGGAAATGAGCAGATTGTTTCAATACATTTCACCATTTTTGTATGAATTTCTGTTGCTGAAGTTACTGATGATTTCTTATTCCCTCCAAATAATAGGTTTTCTTAAAGCTCTCAAAATACGCTTTTGTTTTGGTAATGACTTCTTCATCCGATTCAAATCTCTTACCGTCCAGCCATTTCTTTAGGTTTGGAAACAGAAAATAGTCGCAGGGGGCTAAATCTGGAGAATATGCTGGATGGGGTAGCAGTTCTTACCCCAATTCGTGGATTTTGGCCAGTAATCAGCACACGAAATTCACTTTTTTCCATTTTCGTAAAAACTCACGAGGTTGTCTGCTTTGAACGGTTATCAAACACCAACTGAACGACGTAGCTTGCTCAAAATTAGAAAGTTGCCCACTGGTAGATTACAGCTGACGGCAGCACTGTTGCATTTGGAGTAACTGCGCGGGAAATTCAAAAAGTCACTGACTTATTAAACCGCCCTTGTATAATATAACTTTATTACAAAGGCTGATTCTTCAAAGTGCCTTGGTACAACCGCACAAACGACATGCTAAGAGACCTTAGAATAGGCCCGATCAAAAAATACATGAGGGATAGAGTCCTGATTTTCCTACTTATCTCTATCTAATCTTAGAGTAATCACTCTCCGCACGGGGAGGTACGCAGATCTTAGATCAATCACTGAATAATCATGAAGCTTATAGGCGATACATAAATTAGTCAATGAGATGGGTGGGACCCTGTGGTACCCCCAGTTATCAAAGAGTAAAAGTGCCTAGTTGCGCTGACTCAAAAAAAAAGGATCAACACACATACAAAGGCTGACAAACTGAATTTAAGTTTTTGAATTAAATAATGAAGGAAATCTTCTTTAAATATACTATACTATCTATATATATACTATCTTTTAAGTAAAGTATATCATATAATGATTTAGTATAACTCTATCTAATTTAACTTGACTAAGTGCTAAACACATTATTGCGTCTCAAATCTAATTTTGTAATTTGAGTTAAGTTGAGTTGAGTTGTGAAAGAGTCCAGATCCTTTGAAAAAAGTTACAAAATTGCATTTCCACTGAGATTCACAGTAATTTATTCGCGTTTGTGTTCGTGCTGTCATATTTGCGTTGCTACAAAACTTAAAATTGCAGGAATTCTAATTAACGAACACTTTGACTTGCCGCGAAAGGATCGCTTATTAACGGCCACGCGGAAGTGGAAAAATCCCACTACGTGAAGTTGCTGACAACTTCTTTTGTATGGAAAATGTTATATTTTAATAAAAATAAAAATAAAATGAAAATATTACAACTTTTTTCGCGTGTTAACTACACTTTTCTACCCCGCCCACTTAACTTGTGTATAATTTCTGATGCAAACCCTCCCCTCCTCTTCATATTCGAAGATATGTAATATGAATAAAATAAAATGAAAAAAAAAAAAATTATATAAATGCCAAAGGATATTAATTTTGTAATTATAATTTTTTTACACCACAATTTTACCGCTTTTTTAAAAAGTTTGCCTTCAAAAGTCCGAAATGTGGCATTATTTTTTCCAATTATAAAT